CAATGCAGAATACATACGAATTACTAGTGATGGCAATCAGTCAAACTCAGCTCCATCCACTCTCTTCCTTCCACGGTTGACAACCAGACCAATCGCTGTTTTCTCTCCATCTTCTCTCCCCCCCCTTCTTCACACCTCGAATAGCCAACACAGCATCATCCTCACACACTTCTCACAAGTTACCCTCACATAACTGGAGTTCTAGGTCTTTCAGCACACAATACAAACATATGTACTATAAAGAATTTCTAATTATTTGCAAAACAAAAAGCACATAAAGGTAGCGAGGATATGAAGTTTTGCTCACGACATACGACTCCAATCTCAATATCATTACCATACAAATTGCAGTGAAAGTTCTCATATGTGCGGTGAAACTGTGGACAGTTTTTTTTTCCACCTCGGGTAGATCCAATATACATATCACTGAAAAGATTCACATAAACTGAATGATATCCACATATGAATCACAAGGTTGAAGGTAACCAAACAAGGCTGAAATGAGAAGTCATGTAATCTGTAATTGTAATCGTAATGCTAAACTACCAGTTAAAGACCAAGGTCGAGGGTTCTTGAACCAAAAATAACTGAATATCCACCACGTCAACAATGCCGCCCACTAGAATCTAATATGATCCATCAATCAATCCACTCAAATCAGATTCTCTCACATGTATGCTCTCTTAATCTGTCTAATTGTCCTGCCACGCCAGATGCTGGTTGTCAAAATCTTCCCTTCCCATCGCTATCGCAGAAACAAAGATCAGTAATAGTAGAAACCTGCCAAACAAGCTTCCTTTCCTTCCCCAAATTCAACTTTCGACTGAATCTTCCCTTTCACACACTGTAATACAAGATTCGTCTCTTCCTCTTAAAAACAAAAGCCAGAAATAAAGCAAGCGCCATTCTCCATTCCATGCTATCATACATCTCCATCTTCACCTATCCATTCACTTTTGCATGTTTGCATCTTTCAATCTCGGATGCAAGACATAATTCCCTAATTTGGGTTTCGAGCTTTATCAACATATTCTGCACCAGGTGTCTCGTATTCAGTGACAAAGTAATCTTTAGCATTCTTGCCAATCCAGTTGGTCAACTTGCTAAGTTCCTCTCGGAGACGATTAACAGATTGTAAATCCATATTGGTCTGAGCAATGAGTTCAGGCAGAGTGACTATATATCATCAGTGATGTGTTTTTGGGGAATGGAATGACAATCTCACCCAAAAGACGGCATAAGTGCTCAGCACCATAGGTATCACAGGCAGAACTTTGTGGATATGAATCATCATCCCATAATTCACGGAAATCCATGTGCTGTTGACGTTCGAATCTATGGGTAATTAGTTAGAGACAAGTAGAGGTATCCTCAGAATAAACACACCTGTACAGAAGAATGCGAGGAAGACATCTCTCGAAATACTCCTTCAAACCAGCAACAATCTCTTCCAGGATATCCGCCTGGGCACTTCCAACAGGTCTCTTTGGTTTTTCGAATTCAAGCCAATCATTCAAGATTTGATCAACAGATTTATGGTGGGGTAATGGTACAAGTTGTTGATTCTTAGTGACATTCTCCCAGTCATCAACAAGAATTGCTTTGATATGATCGGGGATAACAAGGTTGATGGATGGTCGATTATGAAAGTTTTCTTCCTGTAAATAGTTAAAATCACGTCTTTCCATGACGATGTTTGAATTCGAAATGCGTGGTAACATCTTCTTGGTGGTTTTGATAAGACGTTCTCCTCTGACTTCAGAGTTACTCTTTGTTTCCTCTTCAAATTTCACTTTTTTCTCAATCTCTGTTCTAGCAACTGTGCCATTACTTTTTCGAGAAGCCATTTGAGCGGTCTTTGAGACGGCCTTTCCAGCAGTCTTCTTCAGAGCAGGTTTAATCGACCCATTTTTAAGAATGAGCCTGGGCTTCTTTGGGGGAGGCTTCATGATCTCTTCTATGCGCTCTTCACTGTATGATAAAGGGAAAAGTCTCTTTCGTTTTAGTTGTGGGGGAGGTAATTGATTATCATCAAATAATCGACCAGCGATAGGATTGATTTGTCCAGGCTCGTAATCTGCATACCACTGGCGCAAAGGTTTGGTGTCGGTACCCTTTTTAATGTGAGCTTGAAGTTTAGGATGAACTGGAGCAGCTTTCTCTTTTGGTTTGTAGACGTAGTTAGATTTATCTGGTCGATATGTTTCAGGATTCCGAATGGAGTTGTTGGAGATGAATTGAAAATCCTTGGGTGGTCTTGCATCCAGATTTGTTTTTGGGACCATGGAGTCGGATTTGAGAAATTTATCAACATTCCAATGCTCACTCTTAGGATTGGCCCAATCTGGGTTCTTTCCATTCATTACTGGCTTTGGTTTGATGGCCGTTAAGTTGCCAGAATCAATGATTGAGCGATCATATGGTTTTGCTGGACATTTCTCTCTCGCACTTCTTCGTACATTAACTGGTGGTGCAGCCAAATTATTGACTGCCTTCACGACTGCCTTTGCGACTGCCTTGACCTTGGTCTTTGCCTTGGTCTTCTCTTTTATCTAAATAATTATCAGTGATTGCATTATTGAAGGAGTGGAGGGAGACTTACATCGGTAACTTGCGGCTTCTGGATTTTACTCTGAGAAGCTGGAATGCCGATTTTCTTCGCAAGACGTTTCGCACGAGCTTTAACAGCTGGTACAACAGGAGGACCCATCTTTAAAGAGTTCTCAAGAGAAGGTTTGAAGTAGTATTTGAAGGATTGTCTTGATGATTTTGTTGTCGTGATTGATTGAAGTTTGAAAAATTGAATGATTTGGAAGTGTGATTCAAAAGGGCGCAGTAACAGAATGTTGTCGAATAGTGGTAGCGATTAAAAGCAAAATAAAAGCTTTAAATGCCCAGCAATATGAACTTTCTCTTATTGTGTTGTATTGAGTTCCTGAAATGATGGTATTGATGGGGAATCAATTTATATTGTTGTTTGGCGACAACTTTAACAATAAGAAGAGAGAGGATGTTTCGATTTTCCAGAATTGGCAAGCGAGAACCCAAAATTTGAGAAGAAGGTCAAACTAGCCACTATGGAAACACTTCTCGTATCTCTTATACCACCTCTCGAGGTAGATTGATATAATTATTGAAGCCTCCAAAACCACCGTGAAATTAAGGAAAGATAAATCAAAGGACTGGGGGGAAATTGGGGATTTCGGGATTTTCGAATCATAATATCAAAGTATCAAAAATCAAAGGAATAAATAGAAATGAATAAACTTACTTGTTCCAAATCATAATCACGATTTCTCCTTGGACCACCTCTTCCACCTCCTTGAGCTGCTACACTCGCATGTCTTTCTTCACTACCACGACCTGAACCAAAATCCGATCCATTAGTTCGTCCACCAATTTTCTTACCACCTGCTGAAGTTGCCGACTTGGGCTTCTGGCTCATCTTCTTCATCTCTTGATGAAGTTGAGCGGCAAGTTCTTTATTATCGTCATTAAACTTCATTACTCGATCTTGAGGTACCCAATCATCCCAACTGTTTTGGTTATCATGGTTAGATTCTGCTTGATTTCTTGGTTTGGGCGAATTGCCATCGGATTCTCTCAAAGTACGAATACGAGGTCGAAGGGATCGTGAAGGCTTTGGGGGGGAAGGTTTGGACATGTTGGTACAGATAATGAAAATTGGGGGAAAAGGGGCAAATTGAGATTGAGTTGAATTGGAAAAAGATTTCAGTTGTTTGGACTGTGCAATATGATATGATATGATATGATACGATACCATAGGATACGATACAATAAAATACCATACCAACACGATAGAACTCAACAAAGTATATCGTTATCAGTATTGGTAATGAAAGTTTTGAAGGTTGAATATGTTCCAAGGCTTCTTCACTGGGGTTACAAGGAAGGCAGGAGGAGATATACTCAACTATTCAACTCTCTCGCTACATATCATCCAGCTTTGGAAAGTAGCTCAAAGACGGGTAGAAGTGCGTTCTTGCTCTTTCTTCTCCCCAATCGTCTTTTTCGTCAAGATAATGAAACGGATAACCCAGATAGCCCAGGAGATTCGAAGGATTCTAATGAATTCAGATTTAAATTTAACTTACGTTGCTTTCCATCTATTTTAAAAGGAATCATGTTAACAAGTTTTCTCCTTAAAAAAAAAAGCTAACAGTATATAGGTACATGTATACCGAGCTTTATATCGAGATTTAGAGAGAAACTCTTACCCCTTATAATGAATCTTGCATTGCCAGCTAGAACCATCTTCTGTTGGTCTCGTGTCTAGAACCTTGGCCTCATACAACAAATCATGATGAAAGCAAAGAACTTTTTCATCTTTCGCATAGGGAGCGACGGGTGGTCCAGATTTTGATGGTGCCATGATTTCCGGTCCGATCTAATAAGGGATTTTGATGAATGTAAAAAGTGTTAGATAAAGTATCTGGGGCGTAATGCTAATGAAGTATAAGATTTGACAGCAAAGCTATATCTAAATACTACCAAAGTTGGGAAGTGAAGTTATTGGAGAATTAGAAGATTTGTCGTGGGCAAATGATGATTATGTTGTTGAAGAAAGGGAGTTCGATAAGATTAGAAAATCCATTCCCATTTCTGTCTGCATCAAGAGACAACCGAGAAGTAGCAAAGCAAGCGCGTCTTTGACAAAAAAGTACGTGTCACGCGTGTTTCTAATTTATGTACCCCAGGTTTATGTGATGTGTTAAGGTTCAATAATTCATCCATGTTTCTAGGTGACATCTTCCAGAAGGGCTTGATTCTCTGAGGATTTGAGTCTTTGAGTATAACCTCATTTTCGTCTGTTTGCTTTCTCAATTCCGAGCTTTCTGGTCGTTTTCATTTCATCAATACATCAATGCTTCTCACCCCTTGGCCCTCAATTGAACTTTACCAAAGTTCAGACCAACTCTCTACCATCTGCTACTAGAAACAAAACGCTTCCAAGTCTCCTTAATCTCCCAATCATCGCAATGCCACCAACCGAACAAAAAATCCTCACCACCTTCCTCCTCCCTCCGGCCTCCCTCCCTCAAATCATCTCTCTCGCCTCTTTCACTCTCCTCTTCCCGCGCGCTGTCCAATCATCCCCTGCTATCCGAACGCTCTACCGGGACCTCCAGCATCAGCGCGCACAAATAATCGACAATGTTTCCAAAGCAATCGAACAAGAAGTACGAAGAGGAAGCGCGATGGAGAGGGCTGTTGTGAGAAGGAGGAGAGGAGACGAGAGAGTTATAGAGGATGATGAGGTGGGGATTGAACGAGCTGTTAGTCATTTCCTTTTCCTTTTCTTTCTTCTTTAACAATTGCCTTCCTTTCTTTCTCCCAATTTTCCTTTCATCCAAACATAATTAACACAGCAAAAAAAAAAACTCCAGCTTTCCAATTCGGCTCAAATATCCAACCTCCCATCATCTCATCCACACTCCCTCCATTCAATCCTCCCTCCCCTCGAAGCAGCAGTTGAAGACCTCGAAGATGAAATCGCGCGAATAGATGCAGAAACCGAAGAATTATTAAATGAGATGAAGAATACAGTTGGTGGACTGAGTGACCTCAGGTTTGGACGGCTTGCGAATTCGGGGATAAGGGGACAGGTTTTGGAAGGATTGGAAAGAGTCGAGGGAGCTGCTGCGACAGTAGGTGCAAAGTGATCGGCATGAATGAGACATGGATAGATATTACCAGTGGAAAGTTCTGGAGGAAAAGCAAAGGCGATATGGTCAATGAGGTAATGATGGTTCGCAGGGTTTTACGATATGACCAGCGATGAAGTAGAAGTTGGGCGCATTGCGCATTGAGGATTCGGCATCGAACCAACTGCGTTCACGCAGGCGCAAAGGCTGCACTGATGCATCACTACCAAGGGTGAAGACACACGGGTGGACGTACTTTGGAGGTTCCGGTATATATTTCCTTTCCATATGGTCTGCCCTCACGGCAGTGGTTCCCAGAGGGCCAGCGGAGCGTCATTCACAAACACAGTAGACATAGCACGGAATTAGCAAGGCGTAAGGTTTGACAATTATGATACCCATTTCTCCGTTCATTAAATTTTGTTTAGATAAGCTACGTAAATTGCATTCAGGCCACCCATCGCTTTGAAAACATGCATAGTATCCGAGAATTGATACCCCACTGCAGTCTTCCCCAAAACTATATTCATGACAAAAACTTCTTAGTAAGTAACTCCATCTCCAGCTGGAGCAGCGCGTGGGCGAGCTCCAGCAGCTGCTGCAGGTCCTTGTGGACCGAGAGTTCGCTTGCTCCTAGAATGACTGTTAGTGGTGGGATGCTTAGAATTCAAGAGTGGAGGGCAGGGCAACTTACATGATGGTTCTGCTCAAGAAAGAAATACCAATCATGAACATCCAGCTGGGAACAACTGCGAAGAACCAAAGTACATATCCAACTGGAACTGCGGCACCGTATTGCGCAAGTTCTCCATCGAAAGGATGGAACCAACCCTCATAAGGTGCCTTTTTCTTGTACGATTTACTAGAGTGCAAATCGGTGAATGTAGTGACGGTTGTAGAGGTAGCGTTCAATGGAACTGTGATAATAGGAACTGGGGATCCTGGAGCCCCAACTTCCATAGTCCACAAGTGTGGTGGTCCTGCGCCCCACGAATTGCAGAGGACGGGTTGTTCGTCGCAATTCAACATTGCCATGTGAGGAGCTGTGGGGTCGACAGCGAAAAGGGCAGCGGATTCATTGAAGCCCGTTTCAATTTTACCGCAGAGACCAAAACAGGTCTTGTTTCCGCCGGTAGCTAGAACCCACCATTCTTGCGGGAGCGAGGACTCGGGAGTGACGCTTCCGCGGATGGTTTCTTGCCAGGTATCGAGGGTGAGTTGGTGGATTTTTGCTTCGCCTACTTTGGCAGTTGCCGCTTCGAGGGGAGATTCGGAGGCTGGAGAGGGGATATAAGATTGGAGTTTGCCGAACCAGTATTGGGCTTGAGCTTTAGCTTGGTCGAGAGGAGATTCTTGGGCTGCGACCAGGAGGGGGAGGGTAAGGATGGAAACGGTAGGTATGCGCATTTTGGTGATTTGTTATGGAATGGATGATTGAGGGGTTGAAGGTGTTAGAATTGAGGGGAATCGAGAGACTATATAAGCAGGTTTCTGATTAGGAAGCTTTCTGCGATTAGGCTGGAGATCTGCGCTGATTGGCAATAGCTAATTGAATGCGCCGAGATAACAGTTTTCGCGAATGGGCTGATCAGATAAAAGATTGAATCTGAGGAAAGGAGAGACGAGATATATATATATATATATTGATATAAAATTGTGAATTTACAGAGATTATGAATGAATATAAAAGAATTTATATATCGTTTGTAAGGAAGCTCTCCAATTTGCGTGATGATGAGGCCAGATGGTTTTTAATGGAAAGATTAATATTAATGGATACCCTCGAGATACCTGGAAGCACCCTTTCACTCATAAGAAGCTCCACAGCAGTATTTCGAGGGGGGGATGGGACGGATGAAATGGGAGGAAGAACCAATCAACAATTCGAACGACCCCAGCTTACTGCTAATCTCTTTTAGTACTAGCGTCTCTCAAAGTGGATGTCATCTCTATCTCTATCACTATTCGCTAGCTACGGTAAGCCTTACACTTTTGGTCTGATCGCTATCGATTATCAGAAACTTTTTTTTTATCAGAAGCATTTTTCGATTTTTTATTGCGGCAGTGAAGGCGCAAAGAGTAATTAAGAAAGGTCTTTCACAATGTCTTTACAAGAAAAGCTCGACAAGATACGCTCGCCGAAGCTTCAAAATCAAAAACAGGTATGTACAATGATCTTCAATGCTAGAATTACCTCTGGTGATATCATGAATTTCACCAACTGAGATCAAAATCTAGACTGCAATTGTGTTGTCTGCGGTTGAAGATACACTTAAAGATCAGAAAACAGAAGCCACTCCAACTGGATATTTTGCCGCATTATTAGCACTCTTAAGACAGGCTTGTCCTCAAGATGGAGAAGTTAACAAAGATTTAACAACTTCTGTTGTATATTTACTCGATATCATTACACCTTTTGCCCCGCAACCACTCCTCCGATCAAAATTTACTCAAATTCTCACAAATCTCGGTCCCGCCCTTATATTACCAGAAGCAGATGCTCCTCTCCTCAGACCTTCGATAGGATGTCTCGAATCATTATTACTCGCACAAGATTCCACGGCATGGGAATTGGAAGTCATGGCAATTGGGCCCAGAAGGGCGATTGCTGGATTATTAAATTTCGCCGTGGATCACAGACCTAAGATTCGAAAGCGTGCGCAAGAAGCACTGGCAAATATTTTGAAAAATCCTCCACCAAGTCCTTCTCTCGATCATCCTGCGGCGGATATGTGTGCGGAAACTGCTTTGAGAAGTTTGAGTGATTTGGCAGCCCAATCGCATCAAGCCAGGAAACAGAGAAAGACCAGCGCAACTGCGGAACATGAGCCAGCTCTGATTCACGCATTACAATTAGTTAAGACTGTTGCAGGAGCATCTGGAGGATGGCCAAGTAAGAAGATTGAGGCATTGTGCGAAGTTTTGTTGAATATTTCAAAATCGAGTAATGAATATTTGGCGATGACTTCGTTCGAAGTATTCGAGATGATATTTGAGGGTATGGCAAACGAAACTGCGACATCGAAGTTACCTCGACTTCTAGAAGTGATCTCTGAATTGAGACCTTCTCAAAACGATTCTCAACTCTTACCTCCTTGGATTGCTGTGTTATCGCGGGGCTATGACGTTTCTGCTCAATTGGAGCCAGAGGAGACTTTTGCAAAATTACCTGAGCTCTTCACAATGATCTCTGGATTCATGTCATCTTCATCACACAGCATTCGAGTATCTGCATCCGAATGTTTGATTTCGTTAATGGCAAATTGTGTCCCAGATTCGGTTATTGCAGAGCCTTCGATTTTTGATGAGAAAGTCCTGGAAAAACTGGCAAAGTGTGCAATTGATCTCTTGAGTGTCAGGTACCAAGCTGCTTGGATGGAATCTTTCAATGTCATGGGCTCCATGTTTGACGCTTTGAGATGGAGAGCAGACCCAATTTTATCTGAAGTTGTTCGCGCCACTGGCGAGCTCAGAGGTAGCGATTCTTTCGCTGGTAAGAAGGAAGCTGATGAGATTCTTGGAAAAGCTATCAGAGCTATGGGACCTGAGAGAGTTCTTAGCATCTTACCTCTAAACCTCATCAAACCACAAGCTGGACAACCTGGACGCGCCTGGATGTTACCCATTCTACGAGACTATGTCAGTAACACGAATCTTCAACATTTCCGAACCGAACTTGAGCCATTGAGCCAAGCAATGCTACAAAGAGTTAGCGACCACGGAGCTGCTGAAAAGACAATGGATATCAAAATCTTTGAAACGATAGTCAAACAAATCTGGGCCATTCTTCCTGGTTATTGCGATTTGCCATTGGATCTCACTGAAGCTTTTGATATCAAATTCGCGGAAATACTCGTCAACATTTTATATGGACAAGTTGATCTACGTCCAGATATTTGTAGAGCGCTCCAAACTCTGATTGAATCTAACCAAGCGATTATCGCGATCGAAGGAGAGGAAGACTTACTTCTCCAAAGCCGTGTTTCAAAGGCCGTTGCACAAAAGAATATTGAGCACTTGGCTACTTTCGCCAGCAATATGCTTTCTGTTTTGTTCAATGTCTACAATGAAACATTACCACAATACAGAGGTTTCATCTTGCAATGTATCAACGCATTCCTTAGCATCACCCCTACTCAAGAACTTATGGAAACATTCGAACGGGTTAGTCAAGCGTTGGGAACATCGCTTGCCGAAGCTGGTGCTCAAACTCAAGCAGAGAAGCAAAAGCAAAGACAACAAAATGCAGCTAACAAGATGCCACCCACGAGTCACAGTCTTATGGATTTGGTCATTACGATCTCTATATACTTGCCAAGAGATAGTTTCAGCACTCTCTTCAATATGGCAGCTCTTATCATTGTCAAGGATGACGACCCACAACTTCAGAAGAAGGCTTATAAGCTTATTCCTCGTCTTGCTGAATCGGAAACTGGAAAGGCTGCATTACAAGAACGTAGCACTGATCTTCAGGAGCTCCTTTTGAACAGTTCCGAGAAGGTATCCACACCAGCAAAGCGTGATCGCCTTGCTGCCATCTCCGTTCTTATTCCTTTCCTCCCAGCCGACTCTCTTCACTTTATCCCAGCTATCTTGTCCGAGGTCGTCATCTCATGTAAGGAAACGAATGAGCGCGCTCGAACTACAGCTTTTGATCTCCTCATTCTGATGGGAGAGAAGATTGCTTCATCTTCTGGCGCTATTATCGACAATAGCAAGGTATCCCACATGCCCGACGATGCACCATCTGTAACCGCAACCCTCGAGGAATACTTTACCATGGTCAGTGCAGGTCTTGCAGGTAGCACACCTCACATGGTATCTGCATCTATCACTGCTCTCACTCGTATCCTGTATAACTTCCGCGAATCTCTATCTCCTGAAACCGTCAGCGAGCTCGTCCAAACTATGGACCTCTTCCTCACATCCAACAATCGTGAAATTGTCCGCAGTGTCCTTGGCTTCGTCAAGGTCTGTGTCATTTCCCTGCCTTCTTCTCTTGTGCTTCCACGTCTTGAAAGTCTCATTCCTAATCTCATGGTCTGGAGTCATGAGCATAAAGCCCATTTCAAGGCAAAGGTTAAGCACATTCTCGAACGTATGATTCGTCGTTTTGGTGTTGAGATTGTCAACAAGTATTGTCCAGAAGAAGATAAAAAGCTCATTACCAATATTCGCAAGACTCGTGAGAGAAGAAAGAGAAATAAGGATGCTGCCAAGGAAGCAGGCGAAGACAGTGGCGAGGAGGAAACTGGTGGAAAGAGAAGAAACAGATTCGAGAATGAATATGATGAGGCTCTTCACGGAAGCGATTCCGAATCTTCTGGTTCTGATGTTTCAGATGATGAAGTCCTTGGTAGATCAAGAAAGAAGGGCGGTAAGAAGGCTGCTGGCGGGAACCAATATATCGTGGAAGATGATGATGAGCCACTTGATTTACTTGACCGCAAAGCACTTGGTAGTATCTCAACCACTAAACCTGTAAAGGCGCGGACGATTACTCGAACAAAGGCAAAGGTGGACTTGGATGGAAAGTTATTGCTCGGAGGTAATGATAGTGATGATGATGATCAAATGGTTATCGATACTCCGGCAGAGGAAGATGGTGGTGTGGGCGCTTATGTTCATGCATTGAAGGGTAGAGATGCGCCGAAGAAGGGTAGAGGTGGAAGACTCAAGTTCAGTAATAGGAAGGGACAGGATGAGGATGATGAGATGGATGTTGATGAGGATGAGGTGAAGGCTGTTAAGAAGAGCATCGGTGGGGATAGGGAAAGGGGAAGGGGTGGAAAAGGAGGTGATAGAGGACGAGGTGGAAGGGGTGGTGGCAGAGGAGGCTTTAATGCCGGGAGAAGAGGTTTGGGTGAGGAGAAGAGATCAGGTGGGGGTGGTGCAGATCGTAGTGGAAGGGTTATGAAGAGTCCTAGGGGTAGAGGAAGGGGGAATGGTCATCCAAGGAGATAATCGGCTTTTGTGTAGCATGACCAAGATGGGGAGATGAGGAAGGGTAATGACTTTTAAAATAGCATTTGTTTGGAGTTATGGATATGGGATGAATCAAAATGGTTTTTATATACTCGTCTGTTCAGTCAAGAAGTATGCCTGCTTCCTCAATTGTTGTTTGATATGTTATCGTGAGAAAGTGTGCATTCGATACATTCAATGTGAAATGGAGAACAAAATCAAGTAGAATGAAACAGATTGTGAATAGTGAATCAACCCACCCCGTCCCAGACAATCCTCTTCTCTCAACTTAGTCACTTCAGAGAATACCCCATCATATTCACTGCACCCACGCACAACGGCGTCCAACAAGGTCAAAAATCCTCAAAACATGCCGAGGCTACACAAATTATCCGTGCGCTTTTATGTACGCGATTTCGTGTCTCGACGCGATTTTGCCTGTG